TAATATATTTTTTGGCCATGACACGAAAAAAATACGTTTATTTTTATTTTGAATATTATACCTATTAAAAAATTACGTTGGTTTTGATATTTCTAAATTAAAAAATTAGAAAAATCGATCTTTTTACAACTGTTATTTTATTTAATATATTCCAAAAAAACTTTTTTTAAATAAAATTTGCATAAAAAGTATAAGATTTTTTGAAATTCATCATTGGATATTTTATTTTGCCAACAAAAATTAGGGATTTGTTTAATCTTATTTTATTTACAAACAACTCTAAAAAAATCGATTAGTTTAGAAAAATCATAATTATCTAACGTAATAAGGGCCGTTCATAAATGATGTCACAGGGAGGAGGAAGGGGTCGTCGTATACAGGGAAACTCAACAAAGTATCCAGCAACACTTTGACAGATGTCAAGTGAACAGGTGACATATGTCAAGTGACAGATGTCAAGTTACCAGATGACATATGGTAGGTGATATATGACAGGTGGCAGATGACAAATGACAGGTGACAGATGACAAATGGCAGGTGAGAGATAACAGGTGACAGATGACATGTGAGAAATATAAAAATCATCTTTAAAATTACTACCCAGTTTAGGTGAAAGCATATGTTGTGACTACATTTGACTCAATATATATGTATAGAAATTTTCAATAATTCACATAGCTCGCCACAGAGTAAAGTTTTTGATTCACGATTTTCTATATTGCAAATTTTTTTTTTCAAAATCTTTAGAAATTTTTAAAATTTCTGAATTGCTATTAGAAGCGCTCACATTTCAAGTATAAGTCTGCAAAAAATCAGAATTTTAGATTGTATTATTGAATTAATACAACGGTTAATGTTACGAACCTACCCTCATAGTGGAATAAAATCGCTTCTTCGTTTGGAATTAAAATTCTTTATAAATTATATTATGCAAAATATGACAATTTTCAGAAAAATGAGCAATTTTAAATGCCAACAAATCAATTTTCCTAAAGTCTGTCGCTAATACAAAAAAATAAATATGTAATAATAATAATATTTTTGGGGTAATTTTTTTTCAAAAATCAATAATTAATTTATTAATCACAAAACTACAACAGAAAATGGTTAGTATGACAAGTCAAATAGATAAATTAAAAGTATACTAAACATAAATTTGATACAATATAACGATGAAAAAGATTATTTAATTTAAAAAAATGATTGAATAAAAAATGTTTTTTTACCCAGTAAAATTTAAAGAAAAGTAAAATGATTTTTTAATACCTGTTCTCATTTTTACCTTGCTAAATATTTTTTTACCTCATCGTAATTTAATCCCGAATTTTTATTTTGGTAAAAATAACTACCTTCCTGACTTTAAAATAAGCGTTTGACCTTGTCAAATGTGTTGTTTTTTAAAACAAAGTTACAAGTGAAGTGCTGAAGTGTTTCTTTAAACAAAGTTACAAGTGATGTGCTGAAGTATTATTGTGACTATTTCCCTCGTCTTAATTTCCACCAATCACAAACGCGCAATTTTGAATTACAAATGGTTTCAAGGTGAAAAAACTGTGTGACAGCACCTGTCAGCAGTTTTTTCGAGTTTACCCGCGGCAAAACTTGACAGCTGTTGTCACCAAAAATTGCAATTTATATTTTAATTGTTAACTGTTACTCATGAAATAGTCTCGTCAAATACCATTCGGGATCAAATTTTTCCTGTGAAAAAAAAATCGAAAAAACACAATGCTAAGTAATATTTTTTAACAAAATGCATTCGTGCAGGTGCAAAAATCCTCCTCTTCGACTCGGATTTTTGTTGCCACCAGCACTCATGCATTTTGTTAAAATATTACTTAGCAACGTGTTTTTTCGATTCTTTTCGGAAAAATTAAATGCCCTTATGATATTACTTACGATAAGTGTTGTGTTATTTTATTAGACAATTGATTTGCTAATAATTATTAGTGTTAAATTATTTTATTGTGGTAAGTTGAATTAATATTACTTTGTTTATTTTGGCCATTTGCAATATGTCTGTGCATCCATGCATTAGAGACATTATTGTTTCAACCCTTGAATGCTTGGAAGAGTTCCCTGACGATAGCAGGAAGGTTTTTTTTTGCAAGATTTGCAAAGAAACAATGGCTGTGAGCAAATATTCACGTCACCATAAACAGAAATTATTAACTCCAATTGTCATATTTTGCATAGTATAATTTATAAAGAATTTTAATTCCAAACGGAGAAGCGATTTTATTCCACTATGAACATAACATAACATAAACCGTTGTATTAATTCTAGAATACAATCTAAAATTCTGTTTTTTTGCAGACCTATACTTGAAATGTGAGCGCTTCTAATAGCAATTCAGAAATTTTAAAAATTTCTAAAGATTTTGATTTTTTTTTTTGAAATATAGAGTTATCAAAATCGTATATAAAAAACTTTACTCTGCGGCGAGCTATGTGAATTATTGAAAATTTCTATACATATATATCGAGTCAAATGTAGTCACAAGATTGACAAAGTTTTTAAAAAATTAAGTCGCTAACTTCAACGGTTGTAGAAATATGAATTTTTATCAACATGCGCGCTTGAATCATACATACACTTAACTGGAAACAAATTTTCGAACGCAAATACGAAAAATCCGCCGATCTTGATTTCAACTTCCTAAACCCCGCGAGCAGATTAGGCATGTCCACAGGGTTTCGAATATCCGACCAAAAAAACTTGTTTTTGTCTGGACCGCCGCTGTTGTTTTAAGTGAAAAGAGGGGTAAAAAGCTCGAAGCGGGATATCGGAATTTCAAACGAATACCCCTTATTTTATCATATTTTCAAGCTTGGAACATTGGTGGGTAGATGGCGACACCTTACGGACACATTTTCTTGTAAATTAATAATAATACGCCTGACAAAGATCGTCCTATAACCTTGCGTCTCTTCACAACATCTTACTCAATGGTTTATACATTTATCTGTAATATACAGGTTTCTGTAATTTATATTTTTTGTTAGACTTACAGTAATCTGCACTTTTGTCGGTTATAGTTCACTCAGGAATTTAAATTGAAAGGATTGTAGTTGAAAAACTTCTACAAAATTAATCACATAAATCTACTAGAATATCCACAAGGGGGGATTTTTTATTTTTTCTCCACTTGGCACTGATTACTTACAGTTCTGTATTGTTCGCTAAAGTGACAAGACTTAGTGTCCTTGGGAGGACAATATGGGGCTCACAGCACACAAATAAGCTGATCAGTGACAAAACCCCAGAATCTACATTAGATTGGTGGACGCAAAAGATTTCCACAAAGGATGGTCAAAGTATTGAAGGATTGAACATAAAGGTGCAAACAGCCACGTAGTACATGGTCTTCTTTTTAATTTTTTTTTGCCTATGGACTTCCGCTTCTATTATCGTGATTTTGTTTATTTTTAAGACATTAGTATATTAGTGAATTTAAAGTAACTTTGGCTGCGTTTATCGTGATTTTGTTTATGTTTGAGACATTAGTTTATTAGTGTAATAAAAATGACTGTTTAAATTATAAGTGTACTAAGATTTTTAAGAATGAGCTGAAATGTTAAAATGAATTATTGTATAAAAACTGAAAAGATTGAAGTGGTAGTGATGGACATATAATTAAAGAAATATATATATATATATATGTAAACAAGAACAAAAGGAAAAGCTATAGGCAAGGGCGTCGATATTTTTTTCTTTTTGGGGGGAGGTAACATAAACATATTTCTTTTAAGTACCTAGGTAGCCTTTTTAAATATAAAATTCAAATTATAATGTATTTTTTTCATTTTTGCAAAACGATCCAAAACAGTGCGAAGGTTAGTAATTAAATTTGACGAAAGTGGTTCAGTTGGGTACATAACAATCCTTGTGCGTCGTCGTAATAGCCGTTCTGCTGAAAATATTGCAGTAGTACGGAAAAATATTACCGAAAATCTTGGAATCTCGATTGGTCATCGTTCCCAACAAGTTGCTATTTCGAGGAGCAGTTTAGAGCAAATTTTAACAAAAGATCTTCATTTGCATCCATACAAAATTCAATTAACACTGGAGCTAGTCCCAGTACTTCATGCAATGCGCCGAAACTTTGTTAATTGGATTCTTGCAAGGCAACAAGATGTTGAATTTGCAGACAATTTTGTTTAGTGATGAAGCGCACTTTCATCTCAGTGGGTATGTCAACAAACAAAATTCCAGAATTTGGGTCAACAAACCAGAAACAAATCATCAACTTAAAGACGATATTCGACGCGTTATTGGCGAAATTCAGCAGAACATATGCGAGGATGTTAAATTATTTCATTAACATAGGGAGGGTGTGCCAGCAAAGTCGAGGTGGGCATTTGACGGATATTTTGTTATATGCATAATCGGAAGATGTCTGACTTTATGGCGAAATAAAAATAAAAAAAATTTCCAAATTTTAACATATCAAATTCGGCGTTCCTATTGAGACACCCTTTATAACAAAGTTGATTTTTGGCTTTGAAAGGTATTTAGTTTTTTTTTAATTATTTAAGAACCGCAGATTTTTTTTTCAACTTTTAGATGCCATTTTAAGACTTGTAATTACTCAACTTTTGTCTAATTTAACCGACCTTGTAGCTCCTCAAATAAAAAAGAAACACATACAAAGGATACTTGGTGCACCCTGTATAAGTGAGTAGCATTGCTTTTATGCACATACATTTATAAAAAAAAAATTATATGTGACACGTGTCACTAAGAACTACATGGAAAAGATTTGCAAACTGAACGATGCATAAATTTTGTTTACATGCGTTGGTGTGCATATCTCAATTTTGACCAAAAGTTTACTTAGAACGTTGTGGAACTCACGCGACGTATTGTCTTTATTAAAATATTTTGTCAAATCCAAAATTTTTAGAACGGTAATGTCTAGAAGTACAAAATAATGTAAACATTCAAATTTTACAAACACAAAAACACTATTTCAATTTTAAAAAAATCAAAAATTTACCTCTGTTTTAAGTTTAGCCACTAAACTGTTTGCATGTTCCAATTCTTCCTTACATTCTGCTAGAATTTCCGTTTTTTCCTCCCTAAAACACAAGACATATTAAAATGAATTAAATAAATATAAAATTATAATATTAAACCTACAGTTCTTGTCTTTGCTTTCTTAATCTGGCTTTCCAGTCAGCCAGTTCAACTGCCAAATGATTAGATTCAACCCCCTCCAATGGATGGGGATTAGCATTTAAAGTATTTTCCTGTCCCAAATCAATAACCCACTGTTGCAATAATTTATCCCTTTCGCTAGTTAGCGTCCTAACATGAAAAAACAACTTCTGGGGCGGTTGTTCGGACCAGTCAAGAGTCAAAACAATATTTTGATCATCTGTTACTTGCTTAATGCATTCAACAATATCATGCTGCGCTTTAACAGATAAATGCTTAATGCGGGTAATAAATACTTCTTTTGTGGGACCCTGGACTGCACAACCAAGCAATAGGAGAATGAGTAGTTTTAGCTGTTCTAAAGCTGCTATTGATGCAGGGGCTCTTCCTAGTGTTACACAGTCAGGCAGTGCTACAACCACTTGACCCAACTCATCCTAAAAGTAAAAAAAATGTATAAAATGTATGGACTTTAATATAAATTCAGTTTATTTTTTTGGTTGCTTACTATAATACGCCATTGTGCTTGAAAAATTGTGTTTAATTGTGTCTAAAATTTAAAAGAATCCTAATGTTCTAATTTAAGTTTTTTGAAACTTTTCCAGGCTTAAACTTATAGAACTTTTAGGCAAACAAATAAATTCAATAATTTTGGCAAAACTATCAATAATTTTGGCAAAACTATCAATAATTTTAAAAGCTGGAAATGGATTTGGCTTGTGGCTATAGTTTCAGTTTCTTTATACTGCCGTGCAGAGGCGGTAACTGCAATATTAAGTAATATAGAACATGTTATATTGTAACAGTAGCGGCTGGTGGATTTTGGGTATACCGATATCTTAATTACAATGTAGGTAAATTTTTAACTTTTGAAATATTACAGCTAAACGCTCGGACAGGTAAACATAATTTTTGTAGATTCCAAATCCGTGCTCGGTTTAGCTGTATCAGGTCTAAAAAAGTTTTTCCTATTCGAAATCCGATCCGGGACACACTATATACTGGTATACCATATATATATATATATTATAATTTGTAAAATAATATAATTCACCTCTTGTGCCAACAGTTTTATGCTTTTTATTTCATTTAATATAATATCCTCAATTATACTCAATAAAAAAAAACCAGCAAAAAAACATTTCAAATTTCCTAAATTATCTAAGAAAAACCCTTAGGGACACGTGTATCTTTTGATCAATTAACTTTAAATTTTGCAAAAATTTGTTATTTTTTTAATTTGGAACTGATATGTGGGTACCGCCAAATTTAATTTTTTTAAAAATTTATACAGGGTGTTTCCAATATCTTTGAATTTTGACCTGATACAGCTAGTGTTGCAAACAAGAAAAAGTTCGGTCGAAAAGTTGGAAAAGTTCGGCACCCCCTATGAAAAGTTGGAAAAGTTATTAGGTGGGAGCCAATGAACAATGAGTTGACTTCTAACCAGTGTTTCCACTACCATAAATTTTTTTCGGTAGATAATTTGGTCAAAATTCGATATAAATCGCTAGATTTGAAGTGTTTTTAGTAAAACGTGCTAAAATCATTGTTTTTTGGAATAACATTCTGTCAAACTTTATCAAAAATGGTGTGTGCTAACAGCATTTTCTATTATATAAAGATTGTTTTATTATAATGTATTTTAGTTGCTAAAATTTATCCAATAAGAATATTTGGGTCACGTATTTTGAATTATATCGTCATAATAAAGCCGGGTCTACAATTGTCGCAGGTCGCAGATCGCAGAACGTAAGCTTGCGCAAAGCACCCAGTTGACAAAAGAACCTTGGTCCATCGCCACGTCGCGGGGTGCTTTGCGCAAGCTTATGTTCTGCGATCGGATCCCTGCGACAATTGTAGACCCGGCTTAAGATAATAATAATAAGGCTTTATTGAACTAAAACCAAGTTCAAAGGCTATTGACCGTAGTCCTTCAGCCGTTAATAAGATAAATATTTAAAATTGAAAAAAACAAGAAATAAAACTCATTATTAAATAATAAACTAAAATGTACCGAAGTGAAAATCGGTAGAAAATAAGGTAAATTAAATATTAAATAATTAACCACTCATTATGATATTTGTGACCTCAGATTATAATAACTAAATATAAAAAAGACATACCTATTTAAATAAACAACACTTTCACAAAAACTGAATTTATATCAAATCAATGTATTATTAAAATGGTATAAAATCGGTAAAATTTGGATTTTTTAAATGAAATTTGAAATTTGTCGATAAACTATGGTAAATAATAAATTGCACCAATTAAATTTATATTATATATTGGTTAAATTCACTCCCTTACAAAATTAAAGAATTCATCTAATCCCTTCAAATAGTAAATAAAAAATAAAAAACTCAACTTTTCCATCTTTTCCAACTTTTCCGAAAAATAAATCCCAACTTTTCAAAAATTTCAACTTTTCATGAAAAGTTGCAACTCTAGATACAGCTAAACCAAGCACGGATTTGTAATCTACAACCAAAAATTAATTTTACGTGTTCGAGCGTTTAGCTGTGATATTTTCACCTCCCTACAGAGTTATTAGATATGGGACCCACACCAAATTTATATAAGATAATAATAACATTAAACAACAAGTTCTGCGCAAGCAGAATTTAAATTGAAGTTTGCGAAAAAACTTTTTGGCGCCCCCAATAAATATAATATAAATTTAATTGGTGCAATTTATTATTTACCATAGTTTATCGACAAATTTCAAATTTCATTTAAAAAATCCAAATTTTACCGATTTTATACCATTTTAAATTTTTAATATTTCTTTTAGAAGAAAAAATAAAAATTAAAAATTATATAAAACCTGTATGATTTGGATTTTTTAAATAAAATTTGAAATTTTTCGATAAATTATGGTTAATAATAAATTGCACCAATTAAATTTATATAATATTTATTGGGGGCGCCATGGGGCCGGTACGGCCGAGCAAAAAGTTATCTTTTTTTCGCAAACTTTAATTTAAATTCTGCTTGCGCAGAACTTGTTTATTAAATGTCATTACAAACTCATATAAATTTGGTGTGGGTCCATATCTAATAATTGAGATATCGGTATACCCAAAATCCACCAGCCGCCAATGTATTGTAGCAATACAAATGATCATTTGTTCTTTATTACTTAATATTGCAGTTACTGCATCTGTGCTTAGCACGACAGTATACCTATATACATCAAGTTGATATTGACATTTTTTTTTAAATGGTCTGAAAACAAAGTTTTGAAATTATTTTTGGAGACCCATTGTTTAAAATATATTTTTTTTAATAACCCAAGACAGTCGAATATTTCCGACTAAGAAATATTCGACTGTCTCAGTCAGGTTCCAGCGCTTGAGAAGGCGCGACGCGTGTGGGAAGGCTCTTAAAACGTAAAAGTTTAAAGATTGAAACCAACAATAATTTTTAAAAAGTGCAAACTAATAAAGTGAAACAAACAATTTTCATAGAGTGCAAGCTAGAGTGGTGTAGCGGTCATTGAGGAGTGAAGTGTTAAGTGATATGAATGAGTTAAGTGCCACCTGTCATTGGACGCTTTTCACTGGACAGACAAAGGAGGTCAAACAAGAGGGGAGGTGGCCATCCGCAAAAAAATTGATAAGTTACCTTAAGAATATGCATGACCTAATACAAAATCTGCAATTTAAATACGGCAGATATCTTTAAAACATATGAAAGGCACACGGAGTAGGGCAATAAATCTGTCAACAACAAGTGCGTAATGCCATCCCAAACGAAACCGAAAATAAACACTAGACTCACAGAATAAACTAACATTAATGATAATAACCCTAACACAGTAAAAAAAATGCCTAATAATCAAACTCTACTAGATTTGTAATCATTAGATAACAGAATAATTGCGCTTGTCATTTGTTTAACTAATAAATAAATGCAATACTTAATTTTGGAATTTAAGAAAAAAAGACAGCGTCAGCGGCTGTGGTCCATTCCCACGAGCACCGTTTCGGATAAACCTTCTTTGGGATAAACTGCTTCTTTTAAGCAGCTATTTGATAGCTGCTACTTAAAAAAAGCGGTAACTGTTTTAACTGCTACTTAAAAATAGCGGTTTTGCCCACTTCTAAACTGTAGGGCCCTTTTACTACTCATAGGCAGCTGTGAAACTTTAAACGCTTTTTTTCAAAACTGCCTTTTTGGATATGGTCATCAGTGATCATATTTTTAAAACCACTGAATGGATTTAGAAGAAAAACAGCATAATAGCATATTATGCTAGTTATTATAGCATATTATGCTAGTTATTAAAAGCATAGGGTTGATCAAAAGATTTTTTTTAACCAGAACTTCTAATAATAATTTAACAAGCAATTGTTTTCGAAAAATTTACTAAAAGTTTTGCGAAATTAAAAAGAAATACTTTTGAGGACCTTGTTAGTAACTTTGTCCAGTATTATTCCTTTTTTTAATTTTCTTGAAAGTTATTACAATAGAGTCATTCTATCATTTTTCACCAAATTTGACAAAAATTGAAAGCTGACCAATAATATTGGATTTTCTTAAAACTTTCAGGGTGTGAAGGCCAATTCTTAGAATGAACAAAAACCACAATAATTTTTTTTTATTTAAACACCCTAAAGAATTAGGCAGGCCATGTTCACCGGATGGCATAAAAAATTACCAAATCGGTGTGTAAGAAAACCCTTTACAACTAAGTTGTTTATTAATATTTTGTATCGCGTAATATTTAGTTTTAACCATAAAATAATGTGATTTTAAAATATAAGTATGCCTAAAATTATAGAAATGTTTTTACTAATGCAGTTTTTTTAGTTCTAAATTTACGCTTCTTTTAACTGAAAATGTCAATTTTCTGCCATTGATATGAAAATTTGATTTGGTGTATATTTTTATTTAAAGTAGTTATAAATATTGATTGAATTATAAAATGCGAAATTATAAAAAAGTATCCAAATTGCAGCAAATACCATCATAATTATGAAAATTTCCCATTTTTTGAGAAAAAAATGCATTTTTTGTCCAGAGGGACTGAACGAAAATTCTTCAAAATTTTTTTTGTGTATTTGCCTTGCTAGGAAGATACAACGGTTTAAAATACCATAAATTGTATAGAATATGGAATTATTCTCATGGTCTTTTTTATCAAGATGGCTTTGATAAAAGAAAATGCTATTTAAAGGTGTTTTAAAAAGAAATATAAAATAGTAAAAATTAAGCTACATAAACATTAAATAATTATTTTATAATTATAATAAACAAAATAACGCATATAGTTGTCGCGGCGAATGTTTCAAATTGCGTCATAAAATTCTGAACCAAGCACAGACATTACAATTATTGTTGTTTACTTTTACGTATATAATCCAAGGAACCGCTAGGTTAACCGTATGTCGAGAAATCGGTTTTTGACATTCGACATTGATGACGCAAT